TGTCCAGCGCATGGAACAGGAGAAGTCTGAGAAGCTTAGGGGCGATAAGACAGACAACCGATCCTTCTTTGCTAAATACGTAAATATATTTATTTTGCTATCATTTATGACTATTTATACAAATAATCAACGAATGGTGTCTTGTAGTGGATGTATATCGTGCCGGTCGTCATATTCCTCTTGATCTCAGGCGCAACCAATCCTGAGGGACGTTAAGGGCTTTTAGTTGCTTTCATACTTAATTCATTAATTTAATAGTTTTTCACAATTTATAATAAATTTATGTAAAACAATGACTAGTCTTGTATTAATGAACACACATGAGAGACAAATGATATGTTTTGACTTTTTTGTATAAATTCTTCAAAACTTATTTGAAATTACAATTAAAGTTGGAATCGGTATCCGGTTATGAATGGAAGACCTGTTCCGACCCTTTGTTTATATTTAAGGTACTCATCGCCAAAGAAGTTCAATAAAGTGATCTCTTCGTGATATATGCGGTCTCTGAAGAATAGCCAACTCATGACCGCATATCCCACACAACAAATGGGATTCATTAGAATTATCTGAAAACATAGCAATCATTAGACATATCATGACATCGGCATAAGTATCAGGGAATCTATGGCTCACTTGAGTGCCGATCGACCAGTAAAACCATCCGACATAAGAGGGATGTCTACAGAAGGCATATATGCCATGAGTGACGAGAACGTGTCCGTCTTGGCGCCGGTGTTGTACGATATGATTGAAATTACTTCTGGCCGTAAGCATCGCCCCCTTCCTCAACAGTTCCCCGATTAGACATAAACTAAGACCAGATATAATGATCCAGAAATTGCTTTTCATTTGTGGCCACAAATAGGACTCAATCGTGAACTCCAAGAACGCTGCGGCAGCGGCTAAGCCGTACTCTTTGCTGTGGTTCAGGAGGAATGAGTCCAAAGATAATGAGTGAGGGTTTATGACGGATGTGACCATATATTCGCTGAAATGAAATGAAGATAAAACCACTAAATAGAGACCAAAACTGGTGGACCAGTCGGTTGTGCCCAACAGTGACAGCAATACACCCAAAGCCAAACCATTACCCAATAGACTGGCCCTAAATGACACCTAAACCGGTGGTTAGCATTCAGTTGGTCACACATTCAAGAGATTATATGAGAGACAATGGATGTGCCATTACCTGGAAGTATAGGTTTGAACGGAAGTAAAACCTGAGCCCTAGTATGGCGTGAGTGATGAGTGCGTGACTCACGAAAATGATGGCAAACCAGTCGTTGATGATATTGTGGCCGAAATTGACGGTCAGTTTAATCATCGATATTAAGAGCAATGATGTGAGGGATGAGACAAATGAGAACAAAGCAATCCGTCCACAGACTGCCATTGCATTGGATTTGTCTTATATACCGATCATTATTTCATTCAATTATAATTACCGATTGATTGTCAATATTTACGGTTTAGCGCAATCATAAATTTGCTTGCTACTTTATATGATAACAATTCTGCTATCTCAATTCAACATATGAGTGCCTTTTATCTCATGCACGCGTAATGCTCACCACATGAAAAGGTGCTCATTTGCAGTCAACATCTAAGCATAAGATATCGCATTTGGTTTAGCTATTCATTGTCTACCGGTGCGATTCCCAATTGACCACAAATTGGATATTTGCAGTTCAATTCAAAATATACTCAGGAATACAGTATCTATTGCCCACTGCTTTGCAAAGCTCTACTGTCCAGTAATCCATACAAATATTCAACTAATTCTCAACACATGTTATATTGAACCTCTAAACCAGCACTTAATCCAATGCTTATCAACGATAAGCACACCTTTTTCTCTCAACAGTAAAAAAGTCATGTTTTAATCAAAATCTTTTATTTGTTTTAATTTATATCCAATACAGACAACAGTTTATCACTTCTTAACTGTTTTGGGCTTTTTTGTCGTTTTCTTCTTCGGCTTCTTTTCCTTTTTCTCCAATTTCTGGCGCTTTTCCTTCAAATCTTTTGAAGCCTTGGCCTTAAGGACTACGAACTTACGATTGACGGCACGATTCACCTGTAATTGCATTCAACACATCACTACATGATCCCAACACGTGGCTAATCACACGCTGTACTCACCCTTTGTTTCAATTTATAGAGTTTGAATCGATCGAAATCAGTCATCTGTCGCTTCTGGACACGAATATAGACAATAGACAATCAATTAGTAAATGCATACAATTAGCAGTGATAGTGATTAGAGGGACGGGTGGTCAGAGAGCTGGGGTTATCAACAATAAACGTTCAGACGGCAATTCCTATCGAACTTTGTTCATCAGTTTAATATGAATGGCGGCTTAAGACAACTCGTGAGACAATGCTTACCACTTGCGTGGCGGCCAACCTCTTGGCCTGTTGTGTTTGCGTCCACTTAGTGGTGATGTCGTCCTTATTCCAGGCTTTGGCCACCACTGCCGATGACGTGCCGTTTGGGATACGGATGCGGAACTGCGTGAGACGTAAGCGCTTGAACTGAATGGCCTGTCGGGCGACACCAGTCACGGGTCCGTCGATGAGAGCCCTGTTCTGGTCAATCACGTCCACGATGGCCGCCGTCTTGCCGGCGAACGGCCCGAAGTGCACCACCGCTACCCTCCCGATCTCCACCACGTGTTTAGTCGGCTATTCATTGCCAATACAAAACGTGTCGTCAGTTCAATGCATTCATTATATATTTAAATTGTTAATTCAATTGAAGAAATAATTAAATTGATGACTAGATTGCGGCAAATTATCACTTAAAGTGAGATCGCTTACCATAACTGTTGGTCACGTTTGAGACACAAATGCAAAGGAAGTGATTGAGTATCGGATATGAAGGATAGCGCATGCGTTCAGTGCATCCCTCTGTCCAACACTTTTGGGCGCTTTATATGAGTTGACGTTTGGCGAGCATTTAATTGGCATTCAAATGGATAGCCACTGACTCTGGCATACAATCGGCCAATCATTAGCCTATTGAACACCTGTATCCTGTGTATCCTTATTGTCTCAATTCATTAGTCTATTTAAAGTGAATTCAAAGTACAGTACAGTTGACGACCTATTAATATATGAACCTATCATACGGTGTTTGCATTGCTATGATAAGCCCATCAAGAAATACAAACTTTTAGATTTATTAAATTTTCCTACTTTTCGTGATTAATAGCTATGATTTGACTAATGATTCAATATATGGCATTGCACTGTACAGTACAATACAATACATTGTGCATGCATTCAATTAGAAGAATATAGTTGTTGATTTAAATGTATTTACCATGATGCCATTCATACTGTATTGAATTGTAATTATATAAAATGTAATTTTATGAGTTATGATTAATTATGAACTAATTGAATGAGTTTCAACATTTCCATTGAATCCAATACTGTAACACCAAGGCAATGATTTCTATTATTAGTGATCATTTATCAATATCTAGCATAATATTAGGTCATTATATTATAAGTTAGTCAACTGACATAGATATTTTGCAAAAAAATAAGTTACATGTAATTTCCACAAAATGATAGCTTTATTGACCATGATCATTTATTTGTTTTACCAAAATCATAAATACATTTATTTTTCTAAGAAAATATATAATAAATTACATTAAATATCAATAATATAACACAATAATAGTGTATAAATGGGTAAAATTATAATACAATTACAGTATATTCTTAAAAGTTTTGAAAATTCTTTGCCATAGAATGCAATCAATGTTTAACATAGCGTTCAATGAGAGCAGAGTCTGTATTGCAGTGAATG